GGCAAATATTTTGTTCAGTGACGGCTGTTTTTTCGGTAGTGATGAGGGCTCTGAGGTGGAAGTACCATCTTGCTAAAAATTGTAACAAGAAAAAAAACCTGCCATTTATCTAATATCATGTGTGTGTATATATACCCACATCATTTACAAATTGCTATTAACAATTACAATGTTTTCTTAGTTGTGATGAATACTTTTATTAGAATTACACAATACATAATTATATGTAATTATACAAACCTGCTCCATTTCTATTGATTGGAATTTCAATTATACTTAGAAATTACTTTAAAAGAAATAGCACACATTTTCTATGGCTATCTTTCTTCTTGTAGCTCACCTCATGTTTGTGTCATGCAACTTTGTACCATGTCAGTATCATGTTAGAAATAGTTTAGTATCTGAGTACCGTATCTTAAAATCCCCACATATGGCCTTAAAATTACTTTTTATTTCCATAATATTTCATGGAAGATTTATTGCTGTTTGCTTTGGTGGCTATCTTGAGAAATGTATTTCGAATTGCAACATTCAGGATTATATTCGGAATGAGATTCCATTGGAACAATATTTGATTAATCATCACCAACATTGGATTTGGATCAAAAGCCTAATCTGAATTAGGGACATTTATTTGATCAATTGTATTTTTTTTGTCAGAATGCAAAGGGATTATAATAACATTGGCAGGGCTAATTTCACTTTTAAAATCACAGTTTAAGTTAGAGAGTGGAGAAACATCATTCAGTGGTTTTGAAGGAATGTCTTCATTGTGTTTGTGTGCCCCTGGGCCACTGCTGCTTTCGGAAGAACAACTTTTCTCTTCATCTGGGGTGACTCCAACATCAGCTTCTGCGTTTGATGAACAATCATTCATTTCGTGTTTCTGAAAATGTAATCATACAACATATTAAAACATGTTCTCAATTCCGAATAATAAATTAAGGCATGTATGTAGAACTTCCTTCGCACCATACATAACCAACTGTGCTAATACAAAATATGCTTCGGTTCATCATCTGTAAATTTCAATCCAATCCTGGTTGGAGCCCTCTTCACGCCACTGCCACCTCTAACGTTCTTGTGATGCAGCTATCCACCCAGCGCCTGTATGCAAAATTATTTAATCGCTCCATCTCCTTGGTGGAGGGAACTTTTCAGATATGTTCCATTCCTTGGCTGCCACTACATTATTATTCTTACCCATCATTCAGAATGCTTCTAAATGCGAAGACATCCTGATCGAGATGAGTCTCACTATGTCCGTATTAATCCACTATTCATTTCTCAAACTGCATCAGTGTATTGGCTTCACTCTTGATTCCACAGTATCCTTCAATACGCACACGAATAACATATTTCAGCCTTGGAGCTACCACCTCAGGGCCCTCTGTCATGTACTCATCACCACCGAAATCATCAATGCCTGCAGGATAATCGGGTTTCGCCTCGACTATTGCAACTCATCCTTACTCGACCTTCAAGTAACGACATCAGTTGAAAAACCATATCACTCGTGTCATCCTCAGTGCCTGTCACTCTTGGCTAGATTCTGTCACCACCCTCCACTGGCTTCCCATCGCCAGCAGGGTTGGCTACAAAATATCCTGCTGCCTTTACCACCGCACCTCTAATTTCAGTCGCTCCTATCATCCTGTAACTACTGCTCACAGTAGAACGCTCTCTTGAAGTGTGACTCGCAACCTCTCCATATCAAGAACCGGGGCTGCATGGAAGTTGCTGCCATCTGGAACACTATTCAGATGCACATTGGCAGCATAATTCAAACTATACCGACTTTCATGAGATGTAAAGGCTCCACCTCTTTCGTCTGGCTTTTTGAGCGACACTGAGCTTTGGCTTTGCGCCTCAGTCACGGTCATTAATGTCTGTGAAATATTGTGTGCATTAAAAATATATTATTGGTACTTAACAATAGATCTCTTAACCAGGTTTCTATAAAATAGAATGCAAGTGTTTACAAATGACGGCTGGAAAAACATTGTTTACTTATATCATTTAACATTTCAATTACGTGCTCCATTTTATCACTAACAAAACAATTTGCAAATGAAATGTGCAGTAATCAAATAATTTGCAATAAAATATGGTCTTACTTTATCTTCATTCCCATCTACAAACGTTATTAAACGTCCATTGCTGTTTTGTGTTGGTTTCAGACATTTTCCAGCTTTCAGTTCTGCTATAAGTTCAAAATTTAAGCTACTTGAAGCTTTGAGGTTGATTTTTTGAACACCTGAAAAAACAAATGTACAAGCAATGTGTGCACACGTCTTCCAAATAATGAGAATTTGCATCATATGATATTTAGAATGATCATGTTGCTTATACAATACTATATTTTCAAACCATAAACCGATGACCAATCCAGACAAATGTTATCCAGCAAAAATCGATAATCGGTAAACTCTGGATCAGTTTGTACCCTTCTGGGTCTCATTAGCAGGGTTAAAGATGAGAGGAACACAGCGACAATATAGGGCTGTAGTAATTTCAGGAAGTAACAATATATACAACACATGCACTTTCGTGGAGCATCATGGTTTTTATTAAACAGACGTACATTCATCTGGCCATGTATTTTTAGGCCATAAAAGCCCAATAGAATAGAGAAAATTATGGGAAATATGAATAATGTAAAATTGTAATGTGAGTCCAGTCGCATGGCTACACATGACTATTCTACTCTTACCTGAATACCAAACATTCCAAAGTGACTGCTTTCTGTTAACAATTAATATAAAAATGTTTCGAGGTACTCATGAACAATTGTACACAGTATATGTTCCATTAGTTTAATCGTGGGTAATGTTAGTGTAGATATTCGATTACCGTATTTTCCCGCATATAACCCGCGGGGTATACCACTTGTTACAAACAAAACAAGACCCTGCGAGGTATATGGAGGTGCGGGCTATCTGAAATTTGTTGTACACAAAACGCTATTTTTGCGGGGTATATGCGTCTGCGGGTTATATGCGTATGCGGGCAATATGCGGGAAAATACGGTAAATGAAAAAATCATAAGAAGTGCGGAGCATATGTACAGCAATACGATATAGGTAGCGATAAAAAAAATGTATGCCAGCACAATACAGTACTGAGAGAAAACGATAGGAGAGGCACAACCATTTCCGGCTATGGGATTATATCTGTATTTTGGGAGCGTAACCCTTCCACTGCCTGTATTTATGTTTGTTAAAGTTATTTCGCACTGCTAATCAAACGTGTGGGAGGAAGACAAATAGTTGAAATCGTTTAGCAGATTGGATAAGATGGCAATGCAGATTGAAGGCATGTCAGGCCGGATATGGTTGTAGTACATGTTGTAAGAGAAAAAAGATCGTAAGTCAAAGTATATTTGGATGTTGTAGTGGTATTACAACTCTCACTCTTTTAAGAGCTGTTGGCAGGTATTATATCATCAATCCCACCCTACCAACTAGGACATCAAAAAGCCCTCATATTGCTAAGTTGTCGACTTAATGGATGGTGTTCACACAATGCGCTTTCGTTATAATGCGGTTCTTAAATTTGGGAACACTTGGCAAAAGTGGAACGCGCCCGTTATAACACAGAAACGCGCCCGTTATAATGCAAAATGTGCCTGTTATAACACAGAAACGCGCCCGTTATAACACAGAAACGCGCCCGTTATAACACAGAAACGCGCCCGTTATAATGCAAAATGCGCCTGTTATAACACAGAAACGCGCCCGTTATAACACAGAAACGCGCCCGTTATAACACAGAAACGCGCCCGTTTTAACACAGAAACGCGCCCGTTATAACACAGAAACGCGCCCGTTATAACACAGAAACGCGCCCGTTATAACACAGAAACGCGCCCGTTATAACACAGAAACTCGCCCGTTATAACACAGAAACTCGCCCGTTATAACACAGAAACGCGCCCGTTATAACACAGAACGCGCCCGTTATAACACAGAAACGCGCCCGTTATAACACAGAAACGCGCCCGTTATAACACAGAAACGCGCCCGTTATAACACAGAAACGCGCCCGTTATAACACAGAAACGCGCCCGTTATAACACAGAAACGCGCCCGTTATAACACAGAAACGCGCCCTGTTATAACACAGAAACGCGCCCGTTATAACACAGAAACGCGCCCGTTATAACACAGAAACTCGCCCGTTATAACACAGAAACGCGCCCGTTATACACAGAAACGCGCCCGTTATAACACAGAAACGCGCCCGTTATAACACAGAAACTCGCCCGTTATAACACAGAAACGCGCCCGTTATAACACAGAAACGCGCCCGTTATAACACAGAAACGCGCCCGTTATAACACAGAAACTCGCCCGTTATAACACAGAAACGCGCCCGTTATAACACAGAAACGCGCCCGTTATAACACAGAAACGCGCCCGTTATAACACAGAAACGCGCCCGTTATAACACAGAAACGCGCCCGTTATAACACAGAAACTCGCCCGTTATAACACAGAAACGCGCCCGTTATAACACAGAAACGCGCCCGTTATAACACAGAAACGCGCCCGTTATAACACAGAACGCGCCCGTTATAACACAGAAACGCGCCCGTTATAACACAGAAACGCGCCCGTTATAACACAGAAACGCGCCCGTTATAACACAGACACTCGCCCGTTATAACACAGAAACGCGCCCTGTTATAACACAGAAACGCGCCCGTTATAACACAGAAACGTGCCCGTTATAACACAGAAACGCGCCCGTTATAACACAGAAACGCGCCTGTTATAACACAGAAACGCGCCCGTTATAACACAGAAACGCGCCCGTTATAACACAGAAACGCGCCCGTTATAACACAGAAACGCGCCTGTTATAACACAGAAACGCGCCCGTTATAACACAGAAACGCGCCTGTTATAACACAGAAACGCGCCTGTTATAACACAGAAACGCGCCCGTTATAACACAGAAACGCGCCTGTTATGACGTGGTTTCTGAGCGGTCGTCGATGAACTACTTTCTTGAGCTGCATGGCTCAGCGGTATGATACCGTATATGGAACGATACAGTAATGTCGAGGCATATCCTCAATTATTTGTCGTGCCATCTTCCTGTGTGTGCGTACATCGACAACATTTATTGTTACATTATATATGAGGAAATAGTTTTCGCTTAAGGGGCCGTCCATTAATGACGTCACGCACCTAGGGAGGGGGGGGGGGTCAGACGTTTGTGACGGGGGGGGTGAGAAATGTGACGTCACATAAAAATGCGCAACTTTAAATAAATACAGACAACACGTTCTACGTTATTAAATAGACTTTTTGATGTTTTCTCCTACAACATCAGAGTGCAGCGCCACATTAAATACGCACTACAATGACAATAAATTAAAGCGATTAGAAGCATTTTTTTGGGGGGGGGTCAGAGCTTTGTGACGTCATATTTGAGGGGGGTCTGACTTTTTGTGACGCCGTGTGACGAGAGAGGGGGTCAAAAATCGTCCAAAATCGCGTGAGGTCATTTATGGACGGCCCCTAATGCATGTTTTGCTTCACGTGGCACTTTTCAGGAATGCATCTACCGCATTAAATAAGGATCATTAATTTACCGAGCAGTGGTGTAAAATCTGGTGTATGACTTGTGCTTTACTCTGTTTTATGGAGCATAGATATACTTATATGTAGAACAACACCAGACACTCACCTGACTTGCATGGCAGTGTTTTATAGAGGCTGGCACCATCATATCTATTTATTTGTGGATGAGATGGTGGAGGCGGTGCCTGTGGTGGTATAAATGAATATTCATCTGCTGTAATGCTGATAATATCAGTGTCTTTTTCTCCCTCCTATAAAAAAAAAGAGTTGTATCAATCATGTTAAGTTGGTGTAAGAGAATAAATCCAGATGTGAGACCTTAATCATCTATAGGTTATAAGTGATGGTGGAAAAAAAAATGTATTCTCATGGAATTGGGTTGCGTGTGTTGGTTTATGTGTCAGAATATGTACCATGTCACTTACACTTTCAGACTCTGGAATGTCAGTGTTTGACTCCATGTCAGTATCTGCTGCCACTGGCAAGTCGGAGAGCTCTCGAAGTTGGGCAGCTTCATCGTCGTCCATTTCACTTCCTGAGATGTCATCACCCTCGGTCAGTTTAAACGTCACTCTCCGGCCTGGTTTACGATTTGTTGGACCCTGTTCACACGACTAACACAAGTTAAGATGTTAAACGTGGAACAGGGTGTTGTTGTGTAATGCTTTATACACTGGAATTAAAACAAGTGCTGCAACGCTTTTTATCAGTACATTTTTTTACCAATACATCACAAATGGTATCAATGTGCGGGCCACACATTAAGATGCAACACTTTTATAAAATGAAAATATATGTTTGTATAAAAGATATAAAATAATTTACGTGAGGTAATCATTTGCCAGGGCAGACTCAATTAAATTGTGTCAACCACCCTGGGCCTGTGTTAATAACAATAGTAACCAGTGTTTCTATTACTCATGAAAACTACAGCATGTTTATACATATGGAAGGAAAATGGAGCACCCAGAAAGAAAAAAATATTCGAGAGGCAAACACGATATCATGAAGTTGGGACCGATGATAAAGTCCACACTTTGCTGTATAATTTTCTCTCGGCAAGCCAGGGTTACACCTCAACGTCCACAGGAAGGGAGTTTCACAACAATCCACCAACTCTCAGCTCCACAGTGCTGGATTACAAGCATGCGTCGCCATCGTCTAATGATGGCATTAACATATTCAGTGGCAGTGTAAATGGACTGCTGGTTTCTGTGTTCATGGCAGCTGAACACCCCCTCTCAGTGTTAAGTGGCCTTGAGTGACAGAAACTGTTATTGACAGGTGATGTGGAGGCTGGGGCCTTGCCCATAGGCATAAGTCGTGCTCTGTGGCTTACTTTAAATGTTAGCTTTGTTTATTACCTTTTTAGAATTGAAGTGAAGCTAAAAATGTCTCCATGACCATTGTTAATGCCCCCTTTTTTCCACTAGATCCCTTCAATATCTGCTCTTACAGCATCCCTCCACGGTCACCAACTTATGTATGCTTGTTGTGATGTCCGTCTTAGTGACTTCCTCCATCCCACACATGTCTCACCTAACGCATTTTATTTCCATGTTTCTAGTATGACCTAAGCTGCTACCATATCCTGCCATGGAAATTCATAGCATCATCTTCATGTACCTGTAGTCCATAGCAAGATGTTTTATATACGTTTGTTAAAATTCAGCTCTCAGATCTGTGCAAGAACAAGGACATTACCTCTTCCTCAAACACGGATATTTTAACACCAAAGTTAACAACTGCATTCTACAAAAATCGTGTATTTAGCCTATTAAAATACCCACCCTGATTAATATGTATGTGTAATAACATCCCTCATCATTGCCTGAAGTGACGCAAGCCATTTTGGACCCATGCGCTGAACCTTAATGCAAATTTCAACCCCAATGAAGCCTGGAGAGCTGAATGGAGTTCTAAAGAACTCACAATCAAACAAGCACCTTGGGGTCCACCCTAAACCGCATCTATTCAAGCCATGGCAGATCCGGATACCTGATGCACAAGTGGAAAACTCTCCAGTGTGCAACTGTGGTCATCCAGAACACACCATACAACATATAATGATGCAATGCCCAATCCACAAATGCAAAGGAGACATCACAGCGTTGGACACCGCTACTCCTGACGCGGTTATCTGGCTTGACTACCTACATATGAAATCGTAGTTGTTGCTCTGCATTCTGCCATACAAAATAATAAGAATACACATGTTATACCTAGATACACATTCCAAATTCCCACTGATGACTATGATAGGAGATATATAGGGGCCGATCTAATAATTATTATAATGATTATAGTCACTGCCTTAAACCTTTTTAAAATGAACAAATGTTAAATTTGTATTTAAAACTTTCGTGACTGCAGGGATTCATATTCTTGGTTGGAGTCTAAATTATTTTATCATATTAACAGTAATAGCAAAGTCATAACATTGTGGTGGCACTGAACGTATGAATCAATTAATTAAGTGCTCTTCTATAGATAGAGATACAGTGACTCACAGAACCTTTCCATGTGTTCCCAGCAAAGGCGCAGCTTTTTCCCAGTAATTTACCAAGATTGAGAAACGAAGTGCACAGATGTCTTGTTAAAGGCCCTCAGCCAGCGGTACAAGTTCCACATTCTCATGCCAAGGTAAAATTAAAAAATAGATAAGTGCTGCTGACCTTATCACGAAGTGGTTATATTTCACCAACCCCAAAGGGATGATGTGCTGTCAATTCTCAACTAAATATGTAACTCAGAATATTCCACTATTTCTTAAAATATTTCACCTGGAATATCTCACGAGATATTTTTTTAAAATTCATTTTCAAAGGTGTCCACAGGGTTAAAGCATGAATTCATGAGAGTTAAGCACTGTTTTACCGGTATCTCAAATCGTTATATATAACTCTGCTTATTATTTGGAATGTTCACGTATTTTGTATAGTCTGCATGTTTCTGCTAGGAGAGGGAGCACAGACACATGTTTACACTCACGTTGTGCCTTTGAAAAAGCAGGTATTCCACACATTCCGTGTGCCCATTTTCTTCAGCTAGATCCACAGGTGTATATCCCCATGAGTCTTTTGCATTTACATCAGCTTCATGCATCAGCAAAATTTCACAACACTGTTGGGAAAATCACAACATTAATTGAAACGCAAGTATAGGACGAAAATGTGTCCTTGTTAGCGGTGGTGGAGTATTCAAGTTAACTTTTGTTAATAACTTTACATACCTTTGCATAATGCATTTGCAAAAACTACACACAATGTAGCACTGTGTGCTCGTACCTGTGGTATACCAGAACTTGCTGCGTATTTCGTGTGTTTTTACTGGACGGTACAGTATATGTTGTAGAATAATGAGAATGAGCATTCTATGGCCAGCTGTCACACATACGATTAACACCATTCACCACCCTCAACATCCATATTGCAAGGTGAATTATAAAGGTTTGATCCCAGCAATTGAAGATTTATACCGGTCCAAAGTTTGAACATATTATATTGTTCATGCAACCTGGATTTGTGTTGCCACGGCCTCGAAGCCACTCTGCAGGTGCCACGACCTCCCCTCTGACCCCCACACTGAATACACACACACATCGCTCACACGTAATGTCCTGACGTTGGGTCGCCTGGCAGTCGGGTTTTAATCCGAGAATTCCTCTGAGGAATGTCCGATGGTTGCTCCGATGCCAGTAGATTGGCTCGACCCAGCAAGACAGTTTTGCATCGCAGCGCCCCTGGTTATTAGAGTAACAATGTACACCTTCCCAGGTTAGCTGCGATGAATTAATATTCTGGAACGGCTAAGGAACCTAGAAATTAGTTACATATCTCTGTAATACGCAAAACCAAAATTATTTAAGATATAATTTAACTTCACTCCCAAAATAATACAACAAACGGATGATAATCATAAATCCATGGCTTAACCCTGGGATAAAAAAATACGTATTCATCATAAAAAACTAAACTTGGGTTTTAAGGAATTAAAGATAAATCTGTCTCCACACCTTGAATTGGCACGTTCTGTTTATGTGACAAACCTTACTAATTGGCTGTGTCGGGTGGTGGCGGGTTTAACGACACATTTATATTTACGCAATCTAACCCAAAAAAAACCTATATTATGGATGATAATGGTCGCGAAAGCCTACATGTTAAACTATGTCACATTACTTTACAATTTATGTAATAAAAAGGATAATTTGTGATCCATTCCTGTTGACAATGAAATACTGTCTTTGAGAAAAATATAATATCGTCTATAAATGATTATTTATAACAAAGCGCACTAGCAGTTTTAGTATACTGATATTTACAGAAATATAATGAAATCGGATGGTGGCATGGTGTAATCTAGAGGTAACCAACCAATTCCATTAGCTCTCCCGGCGTAGCAGTGTAAGCGAGCGATACCACAGTAATGTTCTGCAACTGCTGACAGTTGTGTCTGTGAGTATTTAATATTTGTTTGGAGTTATTTTAGTCTTGTGCTGATCATTTGTCCCACTAGATCAACATGGCATTGGCCACAAGATACATTAATCCGGTACACATCTTGTGCAAATAGTTTCAGTAGTTCATCTTTAGTACCAGATATTAGTCTTTGCATTTTGCGTACTGTGCCAAATATCACTCGGATTTTTTAAAAATCTGGTTATTTATTATATACTCTTGCAATGTATTTTAAGAGTTTTAATTATTTCATCCTTTTCATCATTTGTGCTATTTGATTAGCTTTTTTATTCAGTGCTGTTAATTTGTGCTTTATTGTAACAGGTTCATTGCGGCACCTCTTTAACATGTTTAATCTCACTCCTCAGACTGACAATCTGACATTTTTTTATCCCGATGTATGAGCATCTTCATGAGGGAGCATCAGTGCGCATTTTCTTTCGGCAACTGTTGCGTGCTATTTTATCATTTCGCCTGTGCCTGAGCAGAATATCCAGAAATGGGAGAGTTGTATCCACCTCCACTTCCATGTAAACTGTATGCATTGGTTTTGAGAGTTGAGATGATTTAGACTTGCATTAAGTGTATATTTACCATGTGGCCAGACAATCAATGTGTCATCCACATATCTAATCCAACGAGAGGGTTTCATTGTACTTGAAGCGAGTGCTTTTGTTTCAAAGGTTTCCATGGCTGTGAGCAATGCAATGGGGTGGGGGGAAGGGGGTGGGGTGGGGGGAAGGGGGGGAGTGGCCGATTCGAATTGGCTGTTCCCCTCATGGTGCTCGTGGTCACCACAGTGGAAAATGGGGGCTGTGAATGGGTGCAAGGGACTAGTGAACCCTCCACCTTCATCAACAGGGATCCACGGTGGCAAAATCGTTGCTGCCTTGCCTGGTATACAGGAGGTGGTGGGTTCAATCCCGACCCTGGAGCCTGTATGTTTGAAGTTTGCATATTCTCCCTTTGGTCTCGTGAATTTTTCTCTGGATTCTCCGGAGTTTCTGGTTTCCCCTCTACATTTAGAAACATGCATTTCGTTTTTGGCTGCGATATATTTCCACGTGATAAACCACTTCGTTGAGCTATTATTTGAGGCCAGGTCAATTCTGGAAATAGATATATAGCTCAGTCGCCCTCAACTGGTAAAAAATATATAGTTTAGTTTTTAGCTTAAATTACCGTGAAACCACGAATTAAAGACCAAACTAGGTTTGTACCAGAGGCCTCGGGGGGGGGGGGGGAGGGGGGCATCCGTCTCTGACGTCTCCTGGCCAAACCTCATTTGGTGGCACCAGGAGACTGAACCCGCACACTCCAGGTTCCTCCAGAAACGGCAAGAAGCCACTGCGAGTAGCCACGTGGATTGTGCGAATCCTCATTGCAGAGGAGACGCTGCCACTCCTCTGTCAGAAGCTGGACTAGCACCACCTGAATCTCTGTGGTATTCAGGAAATCTGGTGGACTAGTTCTGGCTCCAGTCACTATGAGGGGTGGACAGTCTTCTACTCAGGGCAGGAAACTAACAACAGGGAGTGGCTCTTCTTCTGAACAAACGAATCAAGGGGGTGTGGGAGCATGGCAGTGAGGTGTGGGAAGTTGTGAGTCCCAGGCTCCTCATCAATGGGAAGTAAGGAATGGTGGTGGTGGGTTACGCCCCTACTGAAGATGAACAGCAGTGGAGGGATGCAGGCAAGGCTGATGAGTCAGATGCCTTCGATATAACCTTTTATCACAGGTACTAGTTAAAGTGAAGCCTCAGGATAGAGTTATCCTGTTGCCTGTATTCAAGGCTCGAGTTGGTCATTATGCAGGTACCTGGCCAGGAGTGATTGAAATACATGGGCCAGATTAGCTCAATAAAAACGGTAAGAGGCTGCGAAACATCTGTGCAGCCCATGGGCTTGTAGGTAAATTAACAACACGCTGTTCCGGCATCGGCACATCCACACAACATCATGGATGCGCACCGGGTCCAAGCAAGAACATCTGCTGGACGATAGCATGATGGAAGAGCGGACGCAGGCCCATGTCCTTCACACCAGGACCTACCATGAAGCTTATCTGCCCACTGACCATTGGCTTGTTATCTGTAAAATGTGCCTGCCATTCTTTCACTTCGGTGGTGGGTATCCACCTAGGACCCCATTCGAACTGACTGTGACCTGGCTTCAGCGAGCTGATAAAAGTTGCAAGCGAGAATTGAATCATTACTTGCAGCTGGGGTTGGCATCGTCCCCCCTTCCTCCTGATGCCGAGGCGAAATAGGTGGGGTATAGGACTGTAGCTCATGCAGTTGCAATGCCTACTTTGGGTATATGATCCAAACCTCCACAGAGACCCTGGCTGACAGAGGAGGTGTTCCAGCTAGCTGAGAAAAAGCGACAGGCCCACTCCCACCGTCTGCCGCATCCCATGTCAAAGAATGAGGCGGCTTACCACAGCCTTCACTAGGAAGTTCAGAGAGGCATGCATCACGACAAGGATGAGTGGTGGTCATGGGTTGCCAAGGAGATGGAATCTGCCTCAGTAGCCCGTGATCACATTTCACGATTTAATTCCATCAAAAACGTAACTTGCAGCACCACACCTATTACCATCCTACGGGAAAAGAATGGTGATCCGATCTCTGACCATCAGCAACAGGTTTACAGATTTGTTGAGCATTTCTGTGAGTTCTTGAGGGAGAGGAAATCCCTCCGCCTAGAAAACATGAGGCAAGATGGGAATGACCCTGCTGGGGCTGTGGTGCCTCAAATATCGTAAGAAGTAGTTGCCTCCTGTGAGTGACTGGCTGAGGTGCCATCAGTTGAGGAAGTACAGAAGGCAATCCAGAGTCTGAGAACAGGAAAAGTGCCAAGCAGAGATGACCTCCCAAGCGCACTGCCGAGGGAGGGTGGAGTTTGTATGCAAACTGCCCTTTATGACATAAGAACAGTGTGGACCACTGGATGGGTTCCGCAGGAATGGAAGGATGCACTGGTGGTCTCCTTCTTTAAGAAGGGGGACCGCACAGACTAACAGCTACAGCAGCATCTCCTTCCTCAGTGTGCCAGGAAAGGTCCTGGCAAGGATTATTCACCATGGCCTGGTCAGGCATGCTGAGGAGAGGATTTCAGAGCCCTAATGTTGTTTCAGGTTAGAGCAGTCGTGCACGGATGCCATAGTCTCTGTCTATTTGCTAAAAAAAAAGAGGTATAGGGAATTCCAACAGAACCTACATCTCTGCTTTATTGACGTAGTCAACGCATATGATACCATGAATAGCTTTCCTGCTTTTGGAGGCCCTGACTCGCTTCTCACAATCACTGAGGACCTTCATGGTGGTGGGAAGACCCGGGTAAATTTACCTGGCTAGGAGTCAGAGCCATTCCCTGTTCACCTTTGGTGCGACAGGGATCTACTCTCGCCCCTATATTATGTAACGTCTCTTTTCTACCAAGTAGTTTGGGAAGTTCTCCATGGCTGTACCAGAGTAATTTCCATATTGTACAGATACAATGCGACGCTAATCGATGTTAGGTTGCGGTCGAGGGATGGCTTCTTATTGGTCAACCATATTATGCATGCTGATCATCTGGTGGAGAGGTTTCCATACCTGGGCAGTGTGCTTATGGCCAGCTGTGGATTGACAGCAAAGATCTCACTCCTAATCACTCGAGTGTTATTATATTTTCATCAGCTGCATAACGCTGTGTAGAAGCTACCTGGTCTGTCACTCCACACGTAGTTTCGGGTCTTGTTGGTCCAGAGTCATGCCCTCCCTCCTCTATGCTTGCGAAACGTGGACCCCATAATGGAACATCTGTGATGGTTAGAAATATTCAGGCTGGCTCGCCTATAATCCATCCTGGGTTTAACCAGGTTGGATTGTGTGAGCTCACAAATCCTTCAAAGATCTTGACACAGTCCTGTCGGTGAGCTCCTCCGGCAGACATGGTTGTGTTGGCTGGGACATTTATCTTGCATGTTCAACCACCGTTTGCCCAAACAGATTTTGTGTGGCCAGATAGAGGCGGCTAAATGGGTGCCGCATGGGTTACAGAAGAGGTGGACTGATGTGGTCCAAAAGGAAATGGAGCTGAGTGGACTTGCCAATGACTAGTACCAGCAGTGTCAAGATCGGCTTCTTTGGAAGAGGCTCATGAAGGACGCTACTGGGAAGTTGGAGGGAGTAACCCTCCAACAACAGCGCAGGGCAGACGAGCGATGCTCAGAAAGATGAGAGGAGCGCCAGGCGGCTAAAACACTGCAAGTTGGCACAGTACGGGGCACAGGTGGACATCTGCCAGTCATCTCAGTCAGTCAACCCATGGCATCTGGGTCTGTCCCGTGAATGTAGCCTGGCACAAGTGCCATGGTAACATGACCACTACTTAGTGGCAAATGGTGGTTGTTGTATTGTGACGATTCAAAATGTATGTCGGATCCTCTTTAGATTACTAACTACTATTTTATTTTACCAGGTAAGGCCCACTGACCTATAGAGCTCTTTTTGAGAAGTGACCTGGCCACAAATAATAGCTCAACGAAGTGGCTTATCACGTGGACATTTATAGCAGCCAAATATTATAAATGCATGTTTCTAATCTTGGGGCCCGGAGAAATATCCATGCGACCACCGGGAGAACAGGCATACTTCGAGTATACAGGCGTCCATGTCGGGATTAAACCCACGACCTCCTGCATACCAGGCGAGGTAGTCAAAATCTCACCACCGTGGTGCCCTCTTCATATGTACATTTACCTTTATGTGTCCATTATCTGCGGCATCATGAAGTGGGTAGCATCCCGTGAGGTCCACCTGGTTCTTAGCACCGTGAGCCAGGAGCCAGTCCATTGTTGAGCAATGTCCTCCTCCTGCAGCGAAGTGCAGTGGGCTTACGCCATCTCCGTCCACATTATTAAGATTGAGGACCGTGAATTCTGTCTGCAGGAACGTATTTCAAATTAAGAATACATCACGTAACATATCGTACATCAGAGAAAATATCATCAAGTAAAACAATGCGAGAGGGTGGGAGCAGCACCTGGCTGTAGAGAGACCTGTGGGAGAGAGGGGGTGGGGTCAGGGAGTCGCTAAGCAACGGAAACTTTCTCTCGTCTTTCTTAAATAGAATCCTTGTGCAATAGTATGGAACGCATCAAGGGGCTCTACAATTAAAAACGTCATCTATAAATACCCATGGATGGGTATTTTACTTTTATTTACATATAAAAGCATGTCTCGCTTGACGAGCGTTACTTAAACGAGAATTCGCTAAAACGAGCAAGTTAAATTTATCCGAGTGTTTTCATAAAACGAGCAAATGTTCGCGTAACGAGCGGAGACCGACCGGTCGAATGCGTCCCGTGGTGGCAGGTGGCGCACCACGGCCCGCAGTTGTTTGTTTACCATTCTTCTGTGCTGTACTTCATAAGTGCGTGATTCGGGGAGGGGGACTTCAGTAACGAGTGTTATCTGATAGGGTCCTGGGTCTCCCCTGGGACGACTTGGACTCAAATTAGTACCAGGTGCGGTGAGTAAATATCGCCACGAGTGAGACAAAGGTAGCCGGGCGTGGTGCTGGCCACCCACATCTCGCGTGCCATACCGGCCTTCATAGGTGCTCGCTAACAGCACTTGGCCCAACACTCTGCTAAGGCTATACGGGGGATATTTGTCTTTGGGAGGGAGAGGTGCGTATGAGACAGAGTGTGCGAGAGGGCTGTGTGATTGAGTGGAGATAGAGTGTGTGTGAGTGATTTCAAATATGTGGCTATACGGAGGCTCTTGCAGTGTGGTTCCTCATGTGCGGTGTTAAATTTGATGTTTTATTGCAAATTTATACTGTCATTTTTGTTTCTCATGTTAACAAAGTTGTTTATAAGTGGACAATTTTGGGGCTGAAACGTTTCTCTGATTTTAACATGAGGAGTCAATGGAAAAACGATCGTTTCGCGGAACGTATCTCACTCATTAAGCAAGACATACTTGTATTTCTATGTACATATGTACATTATTTTCCCAGTATAGCTTCACCGAGTTTCATGATTCTTTTTCAGGAAGATCAGGCAACGTTTTTGGACCATGACCCCAGTGCACAAATGGACAATTCTTGTTAATGGCGTCACAAAGTCACCATGAAATAAACCCTGCGAGCAGTATTTTATGATTGATTAGGACGGCCGCTGAAAGCGAACTGTGAACCTCTCCAACAATGGGGCAGAATATGTAAAGCTTGTGTTTGATCGTACATGACAATTAGATTACCGTTTTTACATCACTTTCCTACGTCTCTTAAAATAATTCTGCTCAATAAAAAAAAAAACATTCTTGCTGTGGTTTTCCCACCTGATGATTGCTTGTGTTGCAATCGAAACGTCGGGATTTGTTTGATTTTAATTTATTTCTAACTACGTGACTTTACCTAAAGACCCAAAGAGTATGGATTCCTGCAGTCACGAAAGCTTCAAATCAAGATTGCTCAATTCAAGTCACGTAAAATTGGTGGCAAACTGCAGTCAATCTGTGTCCGAATCGTGCCAACCTAAAATGTCTGCCATCAAAATTTCTAGAAAAACAATCCCATAATGAATTGAGCCCAGAACATTTCCCCGCTCAAACCAACATTTGGCTATGCTTATCTTCACATTTGTGGGTCTGAATCAGCGGTGGAAATGTCACAATTCCACGTTTTTTTCATAGAAGCGATAGGCATTGATACCAGATAGGAGATTAGTTGAGTTCATCCTCTGACTAAGATTTTTACTCCATTTTCGACGATGGCACATTGGCACGGTGCTGCATCGCCACATAAACCTCTCAACGCTGCTTTTTGGACTTCTGTAATGGACAAAATATTTAAAGGTGGTTTACAGGCAGTCCTTGACTTATGCACAGGTTATGGTCCTGAGACCCATTCATAAGTCGATTTGTTCATATCTCGGAACTCAATATTTAATTGTACATATGGTCGTTGTTATAAAATGTGTTATGGTCCAACAAAAAAGGCAAGCATTATTACACGCATAAATAATGAGTATGTACAGTAATACCCCGGTTTACATCGGGAATGCGTTCCTGAAATGTGCGATGAATATAACGACGTAAATAAAATAAAAATGTACAGGGTAGGTGGAGGCAAATACTGAGGCGAAAAGACAGATTCTGTCGGAGATATATGGGTTGAGGCTACGCAAATAAGGTAGTGGACTTAATTAAGTGACGATGTATGTGCAAAATTACCTATAACGGGGAGACACAAATTGAGTATTACTATAATACTGTAAGAAATACTATTTAAATAAAACCTAAATAAAAGTAACATTAAAATCAAAATTAAACTTTTTCACTTTCCTTGAGCCTTGATACTGGTTTGTCGGAAGGGGTGTGCATCACGCGGGATGTTGTGATCGCTCCTCTGAACAAAATTGTTCTGTGTTTCAGTTTGTAAATACAACTGGAGGTTATGGTTAAAATAATAAAATCTTATGGGGGTTCGTTCGGAAGTGCGGAATGTTCATAAGTCAGACAGTATCTTGGGGACTGTCTGAAAATGTATTAAAGTATAATCGAACAAAATTATATGCTGAAAATATTACGGCTACGTTTTACAATAAAAACAGATATAGGTACTTTACCAGCCAGTCAAGCAATGGAGTGTGGCCATTTTGTGCAGCAGCATGAAGCGGAGTCATCCCATCCTCACTTTGGATTGTAACATCAGCTCCCCATTTCTCCACAAGCCGTTGCAAAAGGAAAAGATGCCCTTCTTGGCATGCCAAATAAACAGGTGTCACACCTTCACGTGTGCGTGCATTAACTGTGCTGCAGGGACAAAACAGTAGATCACGTTGCAAACAACAGAACACAAACACAGTGCAAGCACAGGTGCAATAGATAAAGCCAAGTCATATAGAGATCTCCATTAAGTTTCTAAACTCATCACCATATCCATTAACAATCTTGGCCTCCCACAGTATCATAGCACGTGTAGAATTTCATCTGCCTCCTCCATGAACAAGAATCCACTGTTTGCAAATTTAAGTGTCCTACTTTACAATAAAAGTAAAAAAAAATCTTCATAAGCAGGTCTTCAAATTCATATCGTCAAAAAGCTTAACATGCAGTGCTCACTGATGGGAATGGCATCGTTATGAATCAGCAGAATTGTCGGTGCTGATGGTCTATTTAACTTGCCAGCTGACTTGATAGCTTACTATATGATGGTAGGTATTCTAAATGGGGCCCAATAAAATAGAGTTTCACAATTTTGAGAAACCCCAAATGGAAACACATTTATAACCACAAGATGCATTTTACGCTTGATTTCTTAAAACGTGCACATTTTACAAGCTTATGACATTGAGCTATAATTTATTCCGTTATTTTATAATGAAATAATATTTAAGCAGTATATTCATTTGTAGACATTTATTGTATAATACATTGTGGGTCTAATAATAAGTCTAAACGTAGCCAACTTACTCTGGGGCTGCTTGCAGCAGGGCATTCATCGAATCGGGATCTCCACGTACAGCTGAGTAATGTATCGGCAAAGCAAGCGCTTCAGTGGCAGCACAAGGGTCACATCTGCCAGACTGGAGCAACCAGTTGACAACCGCTGTACAACCAAACCGTGCTGCCACATGCAGCACAGTGCAGCCTGCACTATCGCGCTCCTGTCACACCACCACGTTAAAAGCATACAATTAATATTCACGAAAAATGAGCGATTTGCTCCATATTAAGAACATGTAGAGAAATTAGTGTTTTACAAATGCACGTCATTGTTTCCTCTCAGAATGGTGGCAGATGAAGCAGAATCAAAGTACATACACGCACAGATGTGTGTATACGGCACATTGAGGTCGGGTTCCAGAAGAAATCCAAAACCGGCGGAGCCTTTGTGGACTTGTAATCGGCCTAAACACAGTCTGGATTAAGGGCTTGGTTTTGAAGCTGACAAAGACCATTCCTTGCCTCCACTGATTACATATCTACATATTGTCTAATCTTAAATGTATTCTGATTACCTTTATCACTCCTCTGAATTCAACTCCCTATTTATATCCCATGAATACAATACATATCCTACTATATCTCTCTAATTGTGTCTGAATACATCTTTCCTACTCTTTTATATATCTTTTTTATTAATCCCTTCTATATTTCCTTTCCCAAAGCCCTTCTGAATACGTCGCCGATCTCCAATATCCATTCTGAATGTTGTGACTGAGTTACCAGGTCGAATTGCGATAGTGATAATGATACTGGTGATGATGTGATAAGGACGTTTATACTGGTAGGAACCTCCTGGTTCCACCAGCCCACAGGGGATTATTGTGTCCATCCGTCGTGCATCCAAAAATGGGAGGGGTGGGGCTGGGTGGAGAGGGGAGGGTGGGGAGGGAGGGGCTGGGTGGGGAGGGAGGGGCTGGGTGGGGAGGGTGGGGCTGGGTGGGGAGGGTGGGAAGGGGCTGGGTGGGGGTGGGGAGGGGCTGGTCACCCCGTGGTGCCCTTATAAAACTCAACGTTTAACCTACTCACGCCGGATTGTGCCCGCCCTCACAGTCGGGCATATTTGCGGAATACACCACGCTGCCGTTGACCCTGGCCATTGACTGAGCAAACCCAACGTTCCTACCAGCTCCCTCCGCAGGAATGTGTTGTGACTGGAGATGACAATGTGGAAGGGGCTTTGATTGTGCAGTGCTTGGTGTGTTACGCTGGCCCGGCGGGGAAGATAGTGGAATGTAGGTTAAAGGGAAATGTTACCGTACGCAAGCTACAATAATTCCGCGGCGCACGAGAGTGAGGAGTTGTGTTATAGGCCTATGATATAAATGCTGTTCATTCAATCAGAGGAAGAGCTGTAACAACGAGGGAGAAAGAAACCGAATAATTTGGAGGGTAGGATCACAGAAGGATCAATCAGATGAGAGTTCGATCCTCGAGGAAGGGTGAATCCAGGTGTTTGGAAGCATCACCCTTTGGATATTTCATTGTTGAACATTTCCAATGCATTAATTGCGATAAGCAATTATAATGCTGCACGTGGGTTTTACATTGCATATCAGCGTCTCATTAATAAAGCACTGTTTATTCAATATGTTTGATCATTTAGGATGGTCGAATTTCTAGATGATTTGATCTAATCTATGAATGGGTGTTATCCTGAAGAGAATAAATTGCAATCAAAGTGAATAGATAGAGCCACATGGAGCGCTTCGAGGGAGTGAGGGTGAGGCCGTTTCGGTATTCGTGGGCCGAGTCGTGACCTGATGTGATCACGTGTCTCCTGGAGCCAGAGTAAACATAACGCAGGAGACTACTACCGAGCTTTTACATTCATAATTTAGCATTAACCACGCATGTGATCTCAGGAAGATGACGGACAGAAGCTGCAAAACACAGTGAGGCCAAGCTATTGTGTAAATTGACGTGGTTAGAACAGTTTTTTTTAACCAACTGATTAATGATCAAAGATACAAAAAAAACTATCTGGAACAGATTGAACTGATTACAGTTCATGGTTCAATCGGATTTGGGTTAAACAAAACCAATTCGCACGGTTGGCAACATATGGTGCGCGAAAGTTCAACATACGTCCATATCATCAAGGCCGTAGCCATGGAGTCAACATTGGGGGGGGACCAAATCTTCCAGGGGGTCTGGGTCCCCCCCCCCAGAAAAAAATAATCTAAATTTCAAAACGAATTTCCTGCCATTTCCTCGCTAAAATATAAAAAGATTCACTAACACATAGGATGGCCTTTTTATTTATTTTTAACAATGTCTAATAGTGTATTGTATTCAATTCCTCTGTTTTTTCTTTTTTACCTTTTCTTGTTTCATTGTATGTAATGGCAGAGATTAGGGATTAATAAAGTACAACCATAACCACATAAACAGAAATCTATTTTATAGCAATATATTGGAGGGGACATTTTGAGCATATTTGAATATTGGAGGGGATAGATGTGTCCCCCCAAATGCATATTATAATTACGGCCTTGCATATCAGCTCTTCCGAAAACATCTGTAACGGTGAGGCCGAATGCTGCTGAGCCAGGGTGAGCCGAGGTTACATGAGGTAGGGGGGGAGCTATGGGGGGGATCCCCTAAAACCCCCATCTCCCGAAGCCAAGACGCCACAGTCTGGCCTTCGACTGTGGGGTCCCCTGGCATGAGTTGGTCAGTCAGGGCAAGCCAGTTAGCGTGGGCTTAGGGGGTAGGGCTGAACGATTAATCGATTTCAAATCGAAATCGCAATTTGAAACAATGCGATTAGCAAATGCAAAGGCTGCGATTTTTTGCGATTTGACGAGTCCTATTTCTTATTGGAATTGTTTTATTATTTATTATTATACCTTTATTTATTTAACTTCACAATTGTTCTATCTTGATTTGAAGCTTTCGTGACTGCAGGAATCCATACTCTTTGGTTCTTTCGGTAAAGTCACGTAGGTAAACACGACGTTTCGATCGATTCCAGTTCCACCTGATGACGGACGCTTGTGTTGTTTTATTTATACCTACGTGACTTTACCGAAAGAACCAAAGAGTATGCCTTGGTCTGTTATGCACTATTGACACCATGCACAAGACGCGAACTGTGGCGAATAATGTCTCGTCAAACAACTCTTCAAAACCCTCGGCAACAGTAACAGCATGCATTGTTTTGTTTAGTTCACCAGCTTAACACAGCACCCCCACGTGTCCACAATCACGGAACACCGAGGCGACTTTTGACGCCAAACATTATCCATGCTTCACTCCCAGGTGAGGAGACAACGCAGCAGGAACTGGAACTGTTCCACCTGATGACGGACGCTTGTGTTGCGATCGAAACGTCGTGATGTATTTTATTTCTACCTACGTGACTTTACCGAAAGAAACAAAGAGTATGGATCCCTGCAGTCACGAAAACTTCAAATCAAGATTAGACCAAGGCATAGTTAACACATTCCAAATCTTGTTAGGATTCTCTGTATTCCGCATCAAGTTATTGTCCATCTATCTGTCGCCGTTAAAAGAACGTTTACAAATCCGCGTTGGTGCCCTAGAAATATAGAGGGAATTGAATGGGAGAGAAAATGAAACCTAACTCATCTCCCTATTTAAAAAAGAACAACCCTCAGCCTCCACCTGATCTTATAAGCTCTTTTTTATAGAACCTCTATTGTGCTTACAGTTATTCTCTATGTACCTTTCTCTGTCAATTATATCTCCCCTGAATACATGTATCTTCTCTATTTTATATTTTTGAATATCTTATCTTGATCTGAAGCTTTCATGACTGCAGGCATCCATACTCTTTGGTTCTTTCGGTAAAGTCACGGAGGTAGAAAAATAAAATCTCTCCCTAATCTCCCCCATTAACACAACTGACGTGCTTGCGTCCGGGGATGGAATTCCTTTCCAGCTCAGACCCTACCTGCTTGCCCATCGCCACATAAATAACCTCTTGTTGTAGCTGCTCTCTCGCTGGTTCAACAGGTCCAATGCTGGATTTTTTTCACCGCCTGAGAACGACCGCTTGTGTTGCGGTCGAAACGTCGTGATATTATATTTTTCTACCTACGTGACTTCACCGAAAGAACCAAAGAGTATAGTTTTGAATATCTTGTCAACACTTTTTGTTGTATGTGCCTTTTATTCATGCCATTTTTTTATTTGGTTATTAATTTTTAGTTTTCGAGGGGTTTCATTTGTTTTGTAGTTGCTAGAAATAAGATTTGGCCCTGAGATATAATTAATGTGCGGCGTTGTTGGATGAAATTAGCATGACAGAGGCTATAGACAACTAAGTTATTAAATGACTATTATATTGTTAGTATGTCTGTTGAATCTGTTGGTCGAATCGAAATAATGCGAATTAAAATTATTTTAAAAATAAATAACTATTCAAACATCTTCAATGTCTCGCCATTAATGGAGACTGCTAAAATTGCTCAACGTTAAATACAGGAAAAAGTGGGCACATAAGGTTGTTGGCAAAATATGCCACAATGCATGTGTGCATAAACCACGAGAGACGATACACTAACCAACGCTAAGCAGACTTGACAAACACAGATTCTCAATCTTCTTGGTTCTTTCGGTAAAGTCACGTAGAAGGGAGGTAATAAAATAATAAAAATAAAACATAATAAAATAATTCTCACGACGTTTCGGCCACAACGCATTCAGACGCTGTCGCCTCGACAGACCTGGTTTTCACCTGAGGACGGATGCTTGCGTTGTGGCCGAAACGTCGTGAGAATTATTTCATTATGTTTTATTTTTATTATTTTATTACTTCCCTTCTACGTGACTTTACCGAAAGAACCAAGAAGATGAATCCCTGCAGTCACGAAAGCTTTAAATCGAAATCAGATTCTCAATGTTAGCAAGTTATATTGGACGGACATTATTTTGAGACCCATGCCATGGAGGATGGGAATTAAACGCCTTGAAAACACAGAACAAATAAAGCATATAACAGGTGATGGATGGGAAGAAATGGCCTGAACCAACAGACGATAAGGTCAATAATTGGCCACTGATGTCAGCCGTGCGCGAAAATTGAACTCGAGTAGCCTGACTGACAGCCACAGCTTTCCCCTAATATCTGCAGCTCCCCTTTTATTTATATTTTGAATATATTTCTCTCTTCTATAATGCATTTTCTAAATGCATCTTTCTCACCAATCTCACTCCCATAAAAAACACAGTACATATCCTATCGTATATCCAGTGTAATCGGAATGCATAGCTGCCTGCTTCCACTATGAATGTATCTCAATGATCTATTTCTATTAATACATCTTTTCTATTTTATCTGAATGCATATTCTATCATGTATCTTAAATTTTGTCGAAAATCTATGCAGTATTCACGAATGTTCTCACAAAATCACTTTTGCTTGGGACGAAACGTTAGATGTTCATTCATAACGTGCCTACGTAGTGGTGGAGGCTCTTCCCGTGTTGGTGAATCGTGTGGAAAAATCTTTGGTGATGCTGCACTGGTATACAAGTACAATGAAAAAATCAACAACATTCGTCAATAACACCGTGGTGACGTTTCAAGGCAATGACCTTCAAAGCACATCGGCCAAGAGACAAAGATTGGATAACACAAGTTTGAAACTATAGTCACACCAAAAAAAACCCCAACTTGGGCTCCGAAGCCCTCCTTTGCTCACATACTCAGCTCTGCTGCTGTCCCGCTCACCTCGCTGTCGCAGGCGCCGTCCTCGAGCAGGTAACGCAGACACGCAAGCTGACCCCGTGCAGCCGCGTCGTGCGCTGGGCTCGCCCGTGCCGGACCGGTGCGGATTCTGGCGCTCATGCGTGCCTCCCCGACCAAGAAACGCAGCGCGGTGAGGCTCCCCGCGCGCGCCGCGTGATGCACAGGTGATGCAGGTGATGCGAGGCTGGACCATGCCGCCTGCTGCTGCTGCTGCTCCTGCTGCTGGTGCTGGTGCTCATCTTGCAACGACATGAGCAGCCCCTGCGCATGAAGCTCACGGAGGCTCGTCAGGTCGCCCTGCTCGGCCGCTTCAATCGCGCGCGCCAGCACCGAGTCAGACATGATGATGGTGCCCTGCGTGCTTGAGAGCACGTGGTTTGTTGTTTTAAGACGATGCGAATTGTGGTGCTACTTTATACAAGGTGCATGCCCGTGATCAAACACGGCCCGGATAAAGCGTATGCGGGTGCTTGTGTGATGAGACGGATACAATTACAATACTTTGTCTGGTCATGCCGTGTTTACACATGGTCCCCATGTCAGAACATCGAGTTTCAAATAGTAAACATTTTAGCACGACCCCTAACAATACAGTATATTCACCTGTGCTATGAATGTTACGTGATATTGTTGAACAAGCCTGGCTCCACAATGCAGCTGTTTTGTTTACACCGGGCCTTAGCAAGCAACGTGGTGCACATTTCAATGCCTTTCTATTCTTAAAAAAAACACACACGCTCCTTTTAGCATGCCCATATCTGGTTGCCAATACCTTCAAATTCTTATTGTCTTGAAACCACTTCACATGCCCTGATAGAATCAATATCTATATTCTACACTGTTGCCAGATGCACTGTGTTTAAAGTATACACATTTTTGAAAATGCATTGTCTCATATTTTCCTGTCACTATACTGGTTGCACTGTCACTATATTCAAGTATTATATTTCTCGCTTAGTCTGTAGTTTCTATCAGAACAAATTATTTTATGTCGTGTTGGCTGTGGTGCAAGCCCAGCACAAAATCAGCACATTGGTTAATAAACACTGTCTTAAACGAACTGTCACAAATCACATGTTCATTTTATGGCAATGTTATTGATGATTGTGTTGCGTTTTTTGTTATTTAGGAGTACATTTCACATAAGTGGTGGGGTGAGGGTCATGAAAAAGTATTTTTAGAAGTGTGTCCCAGTCCAAGGAAATTAAATATGCCTTAGATTTATTCCTGCAAGTGTTGCCTTGGAATCCATTGACTAAATCTACGTCTTAAAATACAACAGTTCACTTAAATATTAGACAAAAACACTTTTTTTAAAGACATTTTTAATTAAACTATGTATTGCTGATTAATGTTACAAATTCTAATAAAAAAAGGCCAATTCAATTTGGTTCATATATTTTTTATGTAAAGAAACATGGAAAATGTTGCAATCCATTTTTAAAATAAAATACAATAAATAACCGAACTCCATACATGAAACTTCAGCAACAATCATATGCAAAGTTGCACAAAGTAATTAAATGCCCAGGAGAGGCTGATGTCCAGCTCAGTTTGTATAAACATGTGTAAGAGATGACACGTTCATTTAGTTCTTAAAACATATTATAAATATTCAGACAAATTAGCACAAATAAACATGTAACACATTAATTGGGCTACATTGACTTTTTTACCATGAAAGTCTCGCAGTTTTCCAGTAATCCTGCGGTAATCAAATGCATACAATGTAATACAAGCCGTTTCCAAAACCTTCAAAATGTATGTCGGCGAAATAATATTTTTCAATACATATAACTCTTGTTTTTATTTAATTTCAGAAAACTCTGTAGACCTGTGCAACTTTCTGCACTTTTTTTAAGTAAAGCCTGAGTGTGTTAAACTATGGTATTCATCAATATCAAAGTAGACCTTAAAACTAACAAAATATTAAAATTCTCTCTAGGTTCGCTACAATCCAAGAAAACTGCTATTCTACACAGCTTGGAGAGCAATCTTTTCGAGTCATACAGCCACTCATCTATCCAGGAGATGTTCTTTCTCTTGAAAATGAGCTCCAATTGCCATTCCCCCAACATACAAAAAAAAATTCAAAGCCCCTGCAACGTTCTTCATCATCCAGTTCCATGTAGAAATGACATTTTCAAAATCCAGGTGTGACTGAGAGGAGAAAGTTTTTCAACGTTGATTTCTGCTCAGCAGCAGAAACTCAAAATGATTTGATACTGCGTTTTAGAATTCAGAAGTGATGGCATTGAGATCCTTCATGAGACCTTCCAGACTTGCCATCTCCAGACTAAGGTCATCAGTTGTGTCTTGCTGTGGATACACACAGAAAAGTCCAGTTATAAGAACGATTAGTATATCATGGATCACCTGTCAGACTCAAATAGGTTGAAGGATGGGGAGCATCAATCAGGGATATGGATTCATATTAGCAATACGAATGCGAAGTGTGTTAACAAGTTTGGCAAATTATATTATCAGGATTAGGTATTGTGATGTGACAGTAGTTGAAATGTATGTTACAACTGGGATTCAGAGACATAATAAACTGAAAAGTAAGGAAATCCGTGTGAGCAATGACAATGTTTAAAGAAGAGGTAAAATTAGGGAAAGTAATACAGATCATGAGTTGACAAAGTCTAATTTCAAAGATGAATGTGAACAAATGTGTCAGAATAGGACCGAGTATTGGAAAGAATAATAATAAAAGTTGAACACCCAGAAATAATTTCTCTATAACTAGAAGGTGCATTGGTAAGAGCAGGGGTAAAAGCTTATATATTGGTTTAAGATCCAGAGAGAGCAGCAGCAGCACGTAATTTTCAGAAGAGGACATATTGAAGGATTGCTAGAGCTCATTTAGCCAAATCACCAGACTCAAAGAAACAACAAACATCAAGTAGCAGGGGAAAGTAATGGATACAGAGATTTTCCTAGCAGACATTAAAATAGCCGTGAAATGGCGGGGCCTTGCAAGGTAAACAGGAGTGTGTAGTATCACTGTGTACACTTTTAAAAACAATAGCAAACTCAAATGTAGGAATTCAGGGAAGCTGCATTATGAGGTGGGGAATAGCTACAAGAGGATGGTTGGTAAAATGCCAAACTCATACCATTACAACAAGGGAGATGGACAAGATTGCGGTAACATTAGCAGAATACATTCATAGTGTTGTGCAATTTTACTGCGGGTGTTTAGCAACATTTTTTAAACATTTTATATTCTAAGTTACAGCATCCTAGCATCTTGAACGTGTATGCTGGCAATCAGCCTGTGTCGTTAGGAGACGCGTTAGAATGGGCGTGGTAAGAACCGGTGTTTGATCGCAGAGTATTGTGTTTCCCAGTTTGTTCAATATTGTTTTTGACTATTTACTGAAACTATTAATAGAGACACGGTAACACGACAGACACAGCACGCAAGTGCGTGCTATCCTTCTAAAATTATCTTATTGTGGCTTTATGAGTCTTGTTCTCAAATGTTACAGCGTGGTGATGTCTTGCATTCCACCCCTTGGCATGGGCTGCCGAGAATGTTTATGAAAATTAACGATTTTGTGGATGGAGTCTGACATACTGCAATGTTGTTGCCCTCACAACCCATCTCAAATCCACCTTGTATTCCCCTGTAGCAATATCAATAAAGATTTTCTGATATATAAACTATCTGTGCTTCATTTACACACCTACATATATACACAAAGCAAAAAAATAACATCCCGTTTCACCTACATAGATTGTTGGGAAAGTCTTGTTGGCAAGCACCTATTAAGACTGGCAAGGAAAACAGGAGGATGATGTGACCGGCAGCATACCAGGCTGCCTTTGTCTCCTGATATTTGAACGCCGCACAAGGTCAGGTTGGGCCAACGTGCGGTCGGCTCAGGATTAGTTCAGATATCACTCGTCAATGATATTATCGCCATGGTCATGAATTTAGTTCAGGTCACCAGATTCATAGCGCAATGCACTAACCCATATAGCCTGAACGAACTAATGGGGGCAAGTGCTGTTCGCGAGCACCTATGAAGGCTGGCATGGCACACGAGGGGTGGGTAGCCAGCACCATGCCTGGCCGCCTTTGTCTCCCCAGTGGTGATGCTTACACACCACACCAGGTACTCATTTGAGACCGAGTCGACCTAGGGGTGGCCCAGGACCAGTTCATATAATCGTCACTGGTGTTGGCTGTGACCGGGAATTGAACTCAGGTGGCCGGGTTCATAGTGCTGCGCATGAGCCGCTACACTACCACTCCACATACAAACACATGCACACGTGTAATTACATATGAACATATGAAGCCACTGCTGATAACGGCATCAAGTCAATCATTCGTCCCAATCTTAAAATGCGGCAATCCATCAAGCTCCTACACAGGAGACAACCTATTGCTTAATCTCCTTAGTGGGCATATACACAAATCCTGTATGTACATGGTACAATATACATACAGTATCCTAATAGGCACTATATCTCAATCATTTAATATGCAAGTTAGCACGTTTACCTAAAATCTAGACAATTCTCTCGCCCTAATTGGCTGCAACGAATGGCACTTCATGTTTAACTGTAATGTAGGTGAATTGATTTAAATGGAAGTTAATTAACTGGAATGAAAATATCTAAACGACCCCACAACGTCCACAACTGAAGCAGGCAATACCAAAACAGCTGCTTGATGATGCAGTTGGACTCACATCATCAGTGTCATGCAGCATATGCTTGGCCTCGAGCAATCCTGGGGCACTAGGCACGGTGACGGGGAGGGGTGAGCGTGACCACCCCACAGGCCCCACGGAAGCTGTCCGCACAGGCGCGCCTTGTCCTGCTGTGCCTGTAGAGAATGTACCAATAAACCGTGCTCATTACTGTTCACACACAAGCAAAATAAATTACACTCACTTGTAAACAGAGACACACAAACAGTTTTTTTTCTTTAAATTGGTGATAAAACAAAATGTATAAAAGAGCTACAGCTGAAGTTGTAAAATGTGGGTACAAAAAGATGAATGCCTCATCACTTAATGTGAAATGCATTTTGTTTTTTGTGTGTTAAAGGCTGTGGAAGATGGAGAGAAGTAGAAAAGGTTAAGTGTAAATGTGGTCCTTCAGTCTAACGGAATTGCTCCGAATGTTTCATTCTTTTAAATCGGCTACTGAAATCATGATTACAGTGAAAGGATGCAAAAAACTACTTATACATATCCACGTGAACCATTCTCACACATCAGCATACCACTCTGTGGTAGCAGTGGAGCAGTAGAACTGTCCAGTGGGCTGGTTGGGGTACTCAGCGTGGCGAAACTGGAGAAGGTCTGAGATGGTCGCATATGCCCCACTGACATTGAGCGACAGATCTCCTCCTCATGGGTCGCATCCCTCTCCACAGCACTTGGCCCAATGGGAGCCTCTTCCACACTTGGCGTGGTGTGTACTGTGTCTGAGAAAAGACAAACCATGTCATTACCAACTGTTGATTCGTCATGCTCCCGCGTACATCATCTAAAAAGCCAACATGGAAATTATGGTGGTCACTCTTCTAGTTTCAAAAGTGAACACGCGAAGCACTTGCCCATTGTAATTGAAACATCTTAAAGCAACATTTAGTTAAGTAATGGTTTTCTGTACATTAATTTAAATAACCATCACGGCCATGCATGCCACCACAACTTACAATTGCTGAATCCCAGTCAAGACCTGACCTCCAAGGTCTTCACCATTGGAACCTCATTTGCCAGTAAAAACAAAACTGACACCTTTTTTTTACAAGGAGTCATGTTTGTATAGACCACAATACCTGCAGCCATAATGCAAACAAAAATGGTGTAAATGCTTACCCCGAGCTCTCATACTCTGATGGTGCATTGTCTTTGAGTTGTGCGCCTTTTGGCGTCATCTGGTCCAACCCATGTGAGACTAGGCTCTAAGGAAAGCTGTCTCGGGTGTGGAACCAATCAACTTCAAGGACAGTGCATATATTATCAGAGTTATGTTTTTTGTTTGCATTATGGCTGCAGGTATTGTGGTCTATACAAACATGACTCCTTGTAAAAAAGGTGTCAGTTTTGTTGCCAGATAGAAGGGTAAAAAACCAATTATCACTCCAAGGTCTTCTTTTATAGTAACCTACAATTTGACTTTTGGAAATAGCCTTGGTCATCCACTTCTGCATGCCATTTTTGTTAGGTTATACCATAATTTACATGCATTTCTCCACTTCCGACTAAAATAAGATAGAAAAATGTCTCTTCATACGGATTTAACCGTTCCTATTACACAACCTACGTAATATGAAATAACAATTCACATTTATAATGCGAATTCCATCCTAGGATCCCAATGCGTAATGCATGAAAAGCAGGAAACAAAAACAGAACCAGGGCAACTGACCAAACTAAAGAGGGAAGGCCACTTTAAAGCGATGGGTTTTCAAAGCAGACTTAAATATATCTACCGACTTCGATTGCCTGATTGTTAGTGATGCAGATAGCGCAGAAGATACTGTTGCATAGTCTGGCCCTAAACAGATATACATTTTAGTCCCATATGCATAGCTATGGTGGGATAAGCCAAGATGTCGGAGCAGAGCACCCAATAGTGCCATGTAGATGGTAAAAAGTGATGGTGCAAACACAGATCCTTGCGGAACACCACGGAGAGCCGGTCTAACTGGTGCCTTGAAGCAATCCTCTGTGATGAAGTATCTACGTTTCTTTAGTAAGAGTGGCACCACAACAAAGCAATGCCAGAGATCCCCATTGAAACTTCCAGTGACTCAAGGAAGAACCTCGTGATCAAGATTCAAATGCCGTGCTTAAATCTATCAGAATGAGGAGGCTGGCAAAGCCTTTATCTGCTGACAAAAGGAAATCATTGACCACCCTTACCAAAGCAGTCTCGGTGCTATGAGCAGGAAAGTAATTTGGACCGGATGATGGTAATTTTATTGTAAAAAAACTTTAGTACAAAAATCAGCAGGAATGGGAGATGACATTTGGTTCTTATTCAAAAGTGGACTGATACAGGAAAATAAAGTCCGATGATTGTTATCACTATTTGCAATGCGACAAGCAAACGAAGGAGGATTTAGCGAAGGCAATGCTATGATAAGTACTAAGTTGTTCTTTAAATATTTGATGATGAATAGTGAGGCCGGACTTTCTCCAAGCATGTTCTGCTTTATGGACGGGAGTTTTTTTCACCCTCAATTTTGTAGTGTGCCATGGTGAAGGGTGATGGGATGATAAAACACTGATGATAAGGCAACGCAGGGGCACACTAACCAATCAGGCTACCGGTCCAGTTAGGAAGAGAGGCCCGTCCACACATGCACATGCAATCCTCGTCAGGATAACCAGAAATTATGAATACATTGATCATTATTATCAATAAACTGATAACAAATGTATGCAAATATTGATTTCAAAGTCATAGAATTAAGAATCTAATATGGTTAAACTCTCGTAATGAAAGCACCAATTGGCATAACCAAACGTTCAAAACACGCAGCATGTTACAATGTGAATGTTCCAATGGAGGGCACATCAATCACCATGAAATAGGTTCGAACAGACATATTTACAGGGCCTGACTTTTAGTTTTAATTTTATAAAAATCGTTCAACATTATCAATAACCATGATACATCCACTGCTGATGTCTCCATCTGTCATGGTCTTGTGATATAACCATCGGCCTAGCACCTGCAACCGCGCTGATGTGATAACTCCATCCGGGTTGACATCCACTCAATCAGTGACCATCATCCCTTTTTGGGTCGTGTCCTGTCTAAACCCACATTAACAGTCGATATGATGTCTCTAACCTCTGTAGTTCACGTGTTCTTTGTCCTGTCACAGTGGAATCCCGAGAATGCATCTGTCCATGCTGCTTTGCCAACTTTAAAGTTTTTGTTCCATGTTATTTGTTAATGTCCCTGTTTGTGATCCATAGGTCATCGCAGGCTCTAAGGATCGGTTTCAGTCTATCACTGTGAAATCGGGAATGTTTAACGCAATGCCTCAATGACCCAACCGATCACCTCTCAGATTACCACCAGCACAGCCAAAGCAGTCGTCCGCCAAACCACACAAGAAGAAGCCATGTCAACACTTCTAAAACATTTATGACACCAAAGTACATTTTTAATGCAATGAAAATTGAAACAATAAATGAATTAGTCTGGTCTCTGTGTGTATTTCAGTTAAAATCACGACACCGTGGTGAAGAAATGGTCTAGTACTCAGATTTGTTAGCCAGGCAAGCAAGAAAGCACAATGACTTTAGATCACCAAGTATCTCTAGTAATCCACATCACTGTTAAATTATGACTTTCCCAGCAAATTCGAATACTCATATTTACCAGCTAGGTAAACCGATATATATATGGTCACTAAGTACTTCTATGAAACCACAACACTGATTATAATCAGTATTAACGATCAAGATTCAGAGTAAATTTTACTACTCGACAATTGCCTCTTGAGACTTCATAATGAGAGCACATTGATCTCAGTGAAAGGCAGGAGGATGTGTGGCACAGTATGGCGCCAGCTGTCATAGATCAAGTCATGTAGCAACAGTTCTCTGCAGTGAGTACATTACAATGTCTTTAAAAACAGCAGCACTATGACTCTATAAATACAATTAACGCTAACCGCTTGCGCGGTCCGAGATTCAGCGGTGAGAACAGGACCCACATTGCAACTTGCAGACGTCTCAGAACTGGAAAGGGTTAAGCTATTCACAACAACTATGCTTCGAGGATGATGGTCAAATTCCCATGGGTACTCGTGACACCGATTGGAAGACTGCACCTCTTGGAAATTCGAAATCCCCCAAGTTCCAGTTAAAAGTAGCACTCGCAGTCCTCCAGTATAAAATCGCCTTTGGTAATGATGAGATTGAGCTCGTAGGACTCACTACAGGTACCTAAAGGCGCTCATGAGGTATCTCCAGACACTTGATGAGATAGCACTGTCCAGGTAAGTCCAGGTGTCACCATGATGATGTAGCAATCTCAAGGTAACTCGAGGTACCTCCAGGCACCGAGGCCGCGATGCTCCGGATAGAGACGAGATAGCGTAAGATACGAATGAGAGGTGGTGCTCTCAGCGCCGCCTTTTAGATCATTTCAGGTCAGGCTTTCCAGATGGTTCCAGGCAGGACAATTGCAGGAAACCTCCGATGTGACAGGTTAAAGTCAATGGTAGAGCTCTTGGGGTTGACAGCTGGTGGCTCAATACTGTCCCAGTTAACTCAAGACAGGTCAGGTGTAACCCCCAGGAAGTTTTCAGTTGGTCTACCCAGGTAATTTCAGTGGAGGATTGTATCGGCAAGCCCCAGCCTCTTCTAAAACAGCCTACCTCGTTATTCACAAGGTGGCATCCCTCAATGTAAACGGCACCTCATGGCCTCGTTTGGATGATGTCTTCCGGAAAATACATTTCCTGTTTCATTCACTCGAAGACTACGTTCAAAGGAGTTTCCTATGTTTAAAACTGATCATGCCTAAATACTCTCAGAAGACACTAAAACTAAGAATTTTTTTATTTTAAGAAATATCTACTCGAAGTAACATCTGCCAATAAAGGTTTTATCTCAGAAGGCCGCCTGGATTACTGGGAAATATCAAAGGTCGCCTCCACAGGCAGCATGCATTAATTTAATGTTGGTAAGTTGCTTTTCATTGCCAAATACCATTTTTCTTCTTGTTTCTTTCGGTAAAGTCACGTAGAAGGGAAGTAATAAAATAATAAAAATAAAACATAATAAAACAATTCTCACGACGTTTCGGCTACAACGCAAGCAGCCGTCTTCAGGTGAAGAATGAGACACTACCAAACTAGGAGCTTATATATAAGCTGCATTGGGGGTTGAAGAGCGCCTTAACAAAAAGAATGTGCATGTGAAGAGGGATTTAGCATATTCATGGAAAATGCGTAGGCGTTGGGCGGGGGGGTGTCAAAGTCATATTATGCCCATGCATTATGCAGGATCAGCAGCAACCAAGGGGGGTGCAGGGATTAGCAGTAACAAAGGAAAGGAATGTTAATGATATGTAGCTGCAGTTACTCAACAACCACGTAGAAAACTAAAGTATAAACTACATAAAAAACTAAAGTATAAACTGCATCGCACCATCAGTATACTTACTATACTCTATAATAAGCTGAGTTAGAGTATAGTAAGTATACTAATGGTGTGATGCAGTTTATACTTTAGTTTTTTATGTAGTTTATACTTTAGTTTTCTACGTGGTTGTTGAGTAACTGCAGCTACATATCATTAACATTCCTTTCCTTTGTTACTGCTAATCCCTGCACCCCCCTTGGTTGCTGCTGATCCTGCATAATGCATGGGCATAATATGACTTTGACACCCCCCCGCCCAACGCCTACGCATTTTCCATGAATATGCTAAATCCCTCTTCACATGCACA